TGGAGAGGGACATCATGCTTGGTAGGGTGGAGGGACAGCGCAGGAGGGGAAGACCCTCTATGAGGTGGATTGATTCAGTGACTGGGGTAATTGGCATGGGTGTATCAGAGACGGTGCGATTGGCACAGAACAGAACAGAGTTTAGGGCTGTTGTACATAGGGTTGTTGTAAGTCGCAAACGACTCAACGGCACATAACAACAATAACATATATACAATATTAACAATTCACAGTAGAGTTGTTAGGATTCTTTAGATCATCCCTATATATCTGCAAATTTCTCTTCTGAAAGCTTTTCCCATTTGAGGAATTGATATCTTTAATAAAAGGAAGGGTTTTAGTTTAATAATTCTTTTAAAAAATACTTTGTCTATGAAATCACTGTTGTGTGTCTCTGGGACTTTTGCAGGCAGAGAGCTGTTGACCCCAAGCCATTTTCTGTAGCTTTACTATTTCTGACAATGCAAGAAATGAAACAACCTTCTGGCACCTAAAATAGTCTTAGGCTAACCTCTTCTGCTTTCAGTTTCAAAAGCCATTTGATTCTGATGATTACATGAAAGCATGGCCTTTCCTCTGACATTTTCTTTTCCTTCAGCCAAAATAAAAGAGCAGAAAAAGGGAGGTTATTCATCCAACATAAGGAAAGTCATTTATATAAAATTAGGAAAGCCAACCATTTCCCCCCACTCATTTTCCTTATTTAAGAATGCATTGAACCGTGACCTCATATTGTGAGGCTGTGTCTGGGCACCTTTTACAGTAAATAAATGTTTGTCATCTTAGATAGAGATTTTTCAAGGAGGGCTTCTAATAGTCTCTCTTGGGCTTGAAGGAGTAGAAATCTCAAGAGTACTAACAAAAAGTATTGATTCCACCCTGCTGCTTTATATATATATAGTGTAGTTCTGACTAATAAAATATGCTGATGTGTTGAAACCATTCCCTTTTCTTTTTTTTTAAAAGGAGGGTGTGTAATGTCTTTGTTGTGCTTTCATACTTGAGCAGGTCAGTGATAGGATAGTGCCATCTAGTGGTTTGCCTTTGAAGAAGCTTGTGAAATTGACACAGTGACTGCAGCAATAGGCTCCAGAGTGTCAGAGATGATGAGGATGGCACAGGATACGACAGGGTTCCGGTCTGTTTTCACAGTGTCGCTATGGGTCGGACTCATCGCGAGAGCACCTAACAGCAACAGAATTCTTCCCGAGACTTCTTCTGTTTGAATCGCCTTAATAGCTCTCCACGTGTGGTTTACAGACTGCATGTTATATCCAGAATGGAAATGCCAGGAAGACTGGCAGTAAAGAAATACTATCCAGGAAATCATTCACTCTGATTTTCATATGAAATCATATAGTACTCATGTTTATTTGTGCTTGATTTTTTGACCAAAATTAGTAAAAGTATGAAAATACTGTATAGTGCAGTTAGTGTTCATGTCCTCAGGTATTCTGGTGCTGTTTCTTGAGATTGTTATCATTTCTGTGGTGATATATATCTGAAATTATATGCATTGCTATACATTACTTGATGATGTATGACATTTTCATATATTGGTACTTGTAGCTTACAAACTAGACGTTATCTCCTTAGGATGATAAAAAAAAATTTCTGTTACAAACAAAAGTCATAAGTACCTTGTAGAACTATTCTATAGCATTTCCAAGGCTGTCATCTTTACTATAACAGATTGCCACGTCTTTCTCACATGAAGCAGTTCATGGGCTTGAATCACCAACGTTTTGCTTAGCAGTCGCTTAAAACCATCACTCCAATGGGATTCTCTCCAGACTAAAGAGATTATCATCTAATTTTTAAATGTAAATATATGTATCTTGAGTAAACAGAAGAAGCACAATATCTGTGAAGGCCAACAGTGTTCTTCAGCTGTTTTGTTATCAGGAGAATCGTACTGGCATTTTAAATTCATGTCTGTGTTCTTCCTTCAGTGATTCCGTATAGGTCAGTGATCATCCCAATCAAAAAGCTGAGTAACGCAATCATCACCTCCAACCCTTGGATCTGTGTGGCAGGAGAGTTGGGAGACACGGGAGTGATGCAGATTCCCAAAAACCTCCTTGAAATGACTTTTGAGGTAAGTTCAGCTAATAACCTTCTTAGCAGGAAGTAGCAAATAGAGTTCAGCAGAAAGTCCAGTCTTGTTTGTTGTTGTTACTGTTTTTAAATCACATAATATACAGTAATATTCAAACATACAAAGATGAATTTTGTGACCATAATATCTTAAGCTGCCTAAAGCAGTTTACTTCAATTTGTTTTATGTTTTTATTGTATTGGTTGCTGTTGTTCAAGCTCTGTTTATCTATTTGTGATATTTACATGCTTTGAAGCTTTACCAGACCCTAATTTATAATTCCCTTTGCCTGGTACAGAATCTCACAAGTAAGAGACAGTCACATAAATGCCTAACTTATACAAGTTCTCTTCCTTATGGTAAAATGCTCCCTGCATATCCTTTAGCAAAAATACAGAGTTGGCATCCATGCTGTGACTTTTAGTGGCATGTTTAGAGTGATTTTATAAAAATCATCTTCCGGGGAGCTCTGGTGGCCTAGTGGCAAGAAACTGCACTGCAATCCCAGAGGTATGTGGTTCGAATCCACCAGATGCTCTGCCGGAGAAGGAGGAACAATATCCTCCTGTACCAGTCAGATATTATTTGACGGTACACGCACACAAAATGATTAAAAAAAAATCTTCCATATTATAGTCAGCTTCCAAGTCTCCCCCGGTGAAGCACTCCTATGTTTGAGCCCACATGCAGGTTGAGCTTGGTATGCACAAGAATGCTGAAGAGTTCATATTTGAGAAGGGAAGTGGCACTAAGCGAATGCCCTCTTCACTTAGGATAGCAGAACCCCTTTACGGTCATGACCCTTCAGAGTCCAGGTTGACTTCTCCCCAGTGGACTCAAGCTTCACATTGATCAGTTTGTTGCTTTCTAATGAAGAGATACAAGACATCAAATGATTTAAAAACTCATAGCTCCAGTATCCCTGTCTGTCACATTGTCACTTGAGAACTGTGAGCTTTTAATTGTCAAAATTAAAAATCAGGATTCCATTGACATTTATTTTTACTGAAATATTTATCATTATTGCCATTTTTTGCACTTGTTCACAAAAAGGCCAGTGGAGACCTTAACAACGGGGGTTTGACCATAGATTCAAAGATGTCTAGTAGATGAGTTGTGAGTTTGGATGTTAACCCATGGTCTGTTCCCTACAGTGTCAGAACTTGGGGAAGCTAACTACTGTGCAGATAGGTCATGATAACTCAGGCCTGTTAGCCAAATGGCTAGTGGATTGTGTGATGGTCAGAAATGAAATCACGGGGCATACCTACAGGTAAGTAAAATATCCGTGGAAGCACAGAATGCCTTGACGCTTAAGCAGAAAGGAGTATCTTTTGCTTGTCTGTATGATTGGAAATTGCCAAAAACGAAATTGGGAAAAAACAGACTGTTTACTGCTAGTGTTTAGCTCACAAGTCTTGAAAAAATATGGTATAACTCTGAGGTGGGGGAAAAAAGCTTAAAATTTTTCACTAAAGCAAAAGACCTCTTCAATCTTCTGGACCTCTTCAATCTGGTTACACACAATGTTCTTTTATGGAAACATTATCCTCTATTCTTCTCTACCATAACTCCCCCACATACATCTAATTTGAAATATTCTTCTCAAAATACACGGAATTTTCATATACACTAAAAACAAACAACACAAATTTTAAAAACCCTCAAACTCATTCCTATCGAGTAAGAACTCGTTCTGACCCTCCAGCAGGTTTTCAGAAGTTGTAAATCAGACAGGAAGAGATTGCCATCTTTCTCCCAAAGAACAGCTGGTTTTGAACCACCAGAGAGGCTCTGCTTTGGGGTTAGCCCACTATTCCCTGTGGACGACATTAAACAGAACTAGAGCACTTAGCCTAGTTTTCAGAGACGGCGTAGAAAAAAATCCCTCCTGCAGCTCTGCAGGCATAGACCTTAAGACTGTGCTGACTCAGACTGTTTCTATTCCACCAGAAGCTCTTTGGAAAGATGAGTGAAAGTTTACAACTCATATTGGTCTTTCATTGAATCATTCAAGTACACTGTGACTTATACCTTTGATTACAATTAATTAATCATTAATTATTGATAATTTTGATAATTTGTTATAATAGCTGATGAACTCTGCACGATAAAGTGTTTTTACCATTTTCTTTTTTTATTCCTTTTTGTCTTTTCCTTTCCCTTCACCAAACTTAATATATGTCTATTCTAATGATTCTGTGTCAAGCTTTCTTTAACTTTTTACAATGATTGTTTTATACAGTGTTGGACTTTTTGTGACTAACTTATGTCACTCAGTTTAAGTTTCTGTAGAAACACGTTATGCCGTATTTTCTGAATTCTTTGGCCTTCATTAATATTACATAATACTGCATTGTGCTAATGCACCTTGGTTTCTTTAACCATTCATCTGTTGATAGACACTTGGGTTGTTTCCATCTTTTGCTATTATGCAAACTAAAGCTGGCTGCAGAATTCTTTTTACTTTCATTGGGTGCCTTTAACATTTATGGCCATGAAGAAGAAAGCCTTTACAATTTGGAGAGCCTACTTACTAATGTTGCTAGGGAAGAAATGTCTTTTTTCCCCCCAAATTTTTATTTTATATTGGTTTCCACACAGAATTTGTATCCAGTGTGTTTCATTTCACACTTTCCCTCATTCACTTCATGTCTCATACAGTCATTCCCACACATTGTGTTTTATAAAATTACACACCATTGAACTATGCCCACCATAGTTCAGGTCCTCACCGGATCTTCCCCATTTCCTGTACCTCTAACCTCCACCCACCAAATTGTGCGCAACCTTGTGATTTTCCCCCACCTGGAAGAAATGTCTTGATAACTATAATTGAACTTAAAATACCTAAATGAAGTGTATGGCAAATTTTTATATATAGATGATGAAGATACTTAGCATACTGTTTAGCATACTTTTCTACTTTTCTGTGTGTTTTAAATTTTCCATAATTAAAAAACCCATAGCCAAATGATGGGGGTTTTTTGTTGTTTGTTTCTGGGGTATGGAATTTGATGATTCAAAGGTGTTTTTTTCTTTCCTGCCAGGTTCCCTTGTGGACGGTGGCTAGGGAAAGGCATTGATGATGGAAGCCTGGAAAGAATTCTCATTGGAGAATTGATGACCACAGTGTCAGATGAGGATCTGGTAAAACAGTGTCGAACTCCACCCCAGCAGAAATCACCCACCTCTGCTAGGAGATTAAGCATTACTTCACTGACAGGAAAAACACCCAGTACGTAGTTGATATATATATATATATTTTTTTTTTTTCAGTACATAGCTGATTTTCCAATTTTTTTTTTCACCTGTTCCTCAGATGTTGTAGGGTTTGCGTGGCTGTTCTACATAGGAACTGCTTCAATGATGAATTATCATAAGAAGATCTAACCAGAAGAAAGTGGAAGGACATTAGTTTTGGGGGAAGAGGCTTTACTATGAGAGAGGAAATAAAGAGGAGAAATAAAAGTAAAACAGTATAAAATAAAATCTTGAAGAACTTGAGATGTTAAAATCTCAAACTCTGGATACTCACATTGAATAATACTGTGAAAATATAAATAGATAATAATTTAACTGAAATTTAGTTGGCTAATAAGGACAGTTAACATTTCTTTCTCTTTCTATTATTGATTGACTTGGTATTCCCCAAAAAGATATGTTGACGTCTTGGTCCCTTGTATCTGTGAAAGTGACTTTATTTTTAAATGATGAATACTATGCAGTCAGTTTCTCCAGATAGAAACCTATGTGTCAGAATAGAACTCCCATCAGATTTCCTAGTCTCTAATTAGGAGTCCTAGTGAGACAGTAGAGCGCTCTGGTTGGCCTAGTGGTAAGAAGCTGCTCTGCAGTCCCAAAGGCACAAGGTTCGAACCCACCAGTTGTTCCATGGGAGAAGGCTGGGCAGTCTCCCTCTATTCAGTTAACTACCTCTGAAAATCCACTGGTGGGTCAGCTATGGGTTGATTCTCACTTGATGTTAAACAACAACCACAAGGCAGTGATTAAGCACTGAGCTTCTATTTGAAAGATCAGTGTTTTGAACCTCTATCAGCTGTTCCTGCAGAGAGAGATGAATCAGGGTGGTTTCCTAAAGGTTTGCATATTTATCAACCCTGTAGTGCAGGTATTCTCTGTGGATAGGCCCACTATAAATTAGAATCAGTTCAGTGGTAGCAGGTTTGAGAGGGTTTTTTGGTTTGGGTCTATGAGAGAGGAAATTGCCACATCTTTCTTGCACAGTGCTGCTTAAGTAAGTTTGAACTCCCACCCATTTATGGAACAGTGAGACAGTCATTGGATCAGCAGAGCTCCTCTTGTTTGAAAATGTTGTCATCACAAGTTCGTATAGAAGGCGGTTAGGACCTAATCTCACCTGACTGTTATCCTTGTAAAACTAGAATCAAAACTCTAAGGAACAGACACAGACACACAAATGGGTGACAGCCATGTGAACGTGCATCTACAGACCCCAGCCCAGGACTGCCAGAAACCTGGAAGGATACAAGAGGGTCTTCTCAAACCTTTAGAGAAAACATGGTCCTGGGAAGCACCTGAATCTTGAGGAAGGATAAATTTTTGTTCTTAGAAAGCAGCCAGTTTCTAGTAAGTTGTTAATAGCAGTCCTAAGAAACTAATAAACCCCCATCCTCAATTTATAGCAGCAAAGAAATAAAGTAATTTATTTTATGGAGAAAATATTATGTTCCCCTGCCATGTTTAATAGTACAGATACACTAAGGGGTAGTTGTTGTTCGCCAACAAGTCAGAACCGACTCCTAACTGACCCTCCAGTGCATTTTCAAAGGCTGCAAGCTACACAGGAGGAGACTGCCCCTCTGACCTTGCAGCAAGTAGTTAGAGGGTGTCACTCACACAGGAGATTTATCTGTTTTTCTCCTGCAGAGCTGCTGGTGGATTTGAACTGTACCTTTGAGTAGGCAGCACAACGCCTTACCCTAAGCCATTAGAGCACTCTAAGGGGATTTGGGGCAATGGTGTGTGCCATCGAGTCAGAATAGACTCATAGCTGACCCTCTAGCAGGTTTTCAGAGGCCATGAATCACACGGGAGATTGCCAATCCTTCTCCCGCGGAGCAGCTGGTGGATTCACACCTTGTGCCTTTGGGATTGCAGCATAGCTTCTTACCACTAGACCACCTGAACAGTAGATTGAATAATGCCTTTAAAAATAGCAAGTCCTAGTCCCTAAAACCTGTAAATGCAACGTTTAGAAAAAAGTATGGCAGGAGATTGCCTCTCATACTCCAGCAGAGCATCTGGTGGATTTGAACCGTGTGCCTTCGGGATTTCAGCTTTTCGCCACTAGGCCACCAGAGCTCCCTAAGAATCTTTGTTTTCTTGATATTAAGATGCAATCCATCCTGAAGGCTTCGTTTTCTTTTTATTAATTTTATTTTACTCCGATTTATTTACAAAGTTTGAATACGTTGTTTTCCCATTTCCTTCACCCCACCCACCCATCAAATTGTACAATCCTGTTTTTGTATCAAGTGCTTCAAGCCCTCCTCACTTTCAGAAAGCAAGGTTATATCATCTGCATAACTCAGGTTGTTGATGAGTCTCCCTCCAATCCAGATGCCAGTTTCTCGTATCATTTGCTCAGCATACAGATTGAAGAGATATGCAGAGAGAATACAACTCTGACGCACTCTCTTCTCAGTTTTAAGCCATACAGTGTTCCTCCTTTCACAGAACAGCCTCTTGGTCGATGTATAGTTTTCGCATGAGCACAATTAAGTGCTCCGGGATTCTCAATCTTCTCATTGTTGTTAGCCACAACTTGTTACAATCCACACAGTCAAATGCCTTTGCATAATCAATAAAGCACAAATAGACATTCTTCTGGTATTCTTTACTTTCAACCAGGATGCATCTGACATCAGCATTTGTTAGCTCATACTGGTACTTAAGTATTAGGATAATACTTGATGTAGTCTAAAAACCGGTTTTTTGACTCAGCATCAGGAAGACAAAGATTCTCACCACTAGGCCAATTGGCAGCACTATAATAGATGGAGAAGAGATTGAGGTTGTTAACAATTACAGCTTGCTCTGCTCCACAATCAGCACTTTTAACACCAGCTATTATGAAATCAGAAGACCAATTGCATTAGGTAAATGTGCTGTCAGGGACCTCTCCAGAGTACTGAGAAGCAACAATGTCATGCTGGAGACTAAGATGCACCTAATCCAGGCTGTGGTCTTTGCAGTTACTTGCTGTGCCTCAGAGAGCTGGACCGTGACTAAGGATGACAGGAAAACTGATACCTTTGAGTTTTGGTGCTAGAGAAGAGTCTTGAACATATCATGGTCTGTTTTGGAGTGGGTAAAAACAGGTTTCTCCTTGGAGGCTAGGAGTTTGAAGGAGGGACCAATCCTTGGAGAATGACATAATGCTTGGGAGTGTGGAGGGACAACACAGGAGAGGAAGAGCCTGGGTGAGATGGATTGATGCAGTAACTGGGGCCATGGGGATAGATGTGTCAGAGTCAGTGAGACTGGCTCAGGACAGAGTAGATCTCAGAGCTGTTGTACAGAAGGTTGCTACGAGTCACAGTTGACTTAACAGCACATAACAACAAAATTTTTAATAACGTCTAAAAAACCCTCCTTCAGTCTTAGTAAAATTTACCCTAATTCATAATTCCTTTTTCATTCAGAAGTAAACTTCACATCACATGCCCAGTAAAATGACAAAAGTTTAGAAGTTTGATAATAACAAATATTAGTGAGAGGAAGAATCACTGGAATGCTCATATGTTGCTAGTTATATGTGCCATCAAGTCAACTGTGACTCAGAGTGACCCTGTGTACTATAGCTCTGAACTCTGCCCTATCCTGAGCCAATCTGTCTTGACACACCTGTCCCCCATTATCCCATTTATTGTGTCAATCCATTTCATTCTGGATCTTCCTCTCTTGCACTGTCCCTTCAATCCTTCCAAGGATGATGTCCTTCTCCAAGGAAGTGCCTCCTGGTAGAAGGCCCAAATTATGTCAGACGGAGCCTCAAAATCCTTGCCTCCAAGGAGAAACTTGGTTTCTCCCTCTCCAGGACATACTGTTTGTCCTTTTGACAGTCCATTGTATATTCAAGACTCCTCTTGAGCACCACAACCCAAAGGCATCAGTTCTTCTTCTGTTATCCTTAATTAATTGTCCCACTTTCTGATGCATAGCAGGTAATTGCAAAGACCATGGCTTGGATCAAGCACATCTTAGTCTCCAGACTGACATATTTTTCTAAATATTGCCAGTGGGATTGCAAAATTAAAGACAAATTGACAGGGGTTTTATTATTAGGTTTATACTTGATATGCACTTGACCTAGCAATCCTATTCTTGTATATGTAACCAAAAGAAATGAAGATCTATGTCTACACAAAGACTTGTACTCCAGTGTTCACAGAACCATTTATTCATGATACTCCAAAATGGAAACACCCCAAATATCCATTAACTGGTGAGTGAATAAACAGGTTGTGATAAAGTGGTTGAATAGTTTTCTATTTAACAGTATATAAAAATAAATGGATCTCAGAGACATTACACTAAGACACAAAAGACTACATGTTGTGGCTCCATATATATGAAATTCTAAAAAAGGCAAAATAATAGTGATTGAAAGTCATCAGTGGTTTCCAGAGGCTGGGAGCTGAGGGGGAGGGAATGACCAAAAATAGCCAGGAGGGAACTTCTTGGTTGATGGAAATGTTCTGTGTCATATCGTGGTGGTGGTTATAGGACTGAAACTCATCCACTTGCACAATTGCAACTGATGAATTTGATTGTGTATAAGCCATACTTTAATACTGATTTTCTTAAAGAGAAGTAGAGTTTAGCACAGTCCAAGCTATTCTAAATCTGTCCCAAGTTCCTAGAGTATTGCTGTTTTAAAAGGTCTTATTCCCCATTTTTTTGGTCGTATTTTTTTCCTCACTCAGTAACCTGAGACATATGGGTAATTTGGTATTTTCTCCAGTCTGTCTGAAAATTCTACTGATTAGGACTGGGCTTTTGGGAATGAATGAAAGCTTTCAGAGTTGGTCTTGTTGTTTAAAAGAGGAAAGAATATTCAAAGAAAGGTAAAAGTAAATGAAGAATCTGCTCAGAACTAAAGAGACTGATATCCAGGGGTTTCTGTGTTAATAACGTTTGTCCATTCATGTAGGGGAAAACTGAATTGTTTAATGTAAGAAATTCTCCATCCGTATTAATCAGAGCTGCTTAAACATCAAGATGTATATTTTGTCATATATAATATATGAATTAGATTTAATAGTTAAATCATATGAACATATCAAAATGTATCATTTTTCTCCTCTTAGCCTGTTTCTGATCTGGATACAACCTGAGTTTGCTCATCCCACTGCCTTTTTTTTTTATCATCTCGGAACTTGAGAAACAAGGTGGTTGGGTCCCATTTAGGCAGCCCATCAGATTCTCCTTCAGGAAAAGGACGTAGATAAGCTGATACTGGCTTCCAGAATGAAGCTATAGCCAGGCAACCAGAAAGAAGGTTCTAGATTTTGGGCTGGGGCACCCAACATTTCATCAGTTACTTAAAATACAATCACAAAAGCTCTAGGTTAGCCATTCAGAGGTTCAGAAACATTAACCTGTACCCAATACTCAGTAATGCAGTTTATTGCCATGAAATCAGAACCCACCTCCAGCCGACCCTCCATTGGATTTCCAAGATGATAAATCACATGGAGATTGCCCATTTTTCTCCCACTGGTGTATTCAAACCACCAGAGAAGCATAGACTTTGGATTAGTTAGCAGCACAGCTCCCTACAGACTGTGCCATCAGAGATCTCTGTACCCAGTAGGGTTTCAGAAATATATACGAAGTGCCTGAAAATATATACTACAAGTCTTTTGAGCCTCATTTCCATCTAGAGGTTTATTGGTATTATGTAGCAAGCACAAGACCAGATGATTGACACTAAATATCTAATTCCACTTTCCCAATGACCCTTGAGATAGGAGTTTTCCCTACTTTATTGAAGAATATCAACTTGGAGGAAGTTAGACACACTTGATCACAATTTTATAGTGCAAGTGGAAAGACCAATATTTGAACTGTGACGCCTCAGATTGTTTTCCACTCTACCTTGCACTTGCCCAGACTGGGAGCAGTTAAGTTTCATGGAGCCACTGGCAAAACCAAGCTGTTGTGGTATAGCATTTCATACATAAGTGGACACAGTTTATATCCCATAGGTACTTTGTTGGATTTGTTGGATTTTTTTTCCCTCACATGAGAATTCTGCCACTGTTGATTATCTTACAGAGCCCAGTGCTGGACAGATCCAAGAAGGAATTGGAGAAGCTGTGAATAATATCGTGAAACATTTTCACAAACCGGAAAAAGAGGTATTGTGGACTATAAAACTTAGTCTAATGGGATTTTTGAAGCTACTTTCATACTTGATATATAAGGCAATAAGAAATACTCTTATTTGTAAGCTATTAGCTGTGACAGAATGTTCTATAGAGTTACCCTCGGCACTTATTTCTCTAGTGTTTTTCCTAGACAGGCACAGCAGATAAACCTTCAGCGCTTTGTTTTGTTCCTCAGAGAGGAAGCCTCACCGTGCTGCTATGTGGAGAAAATGGCCTGGTGGCAGCACTTGAGCAAGTTTTCCACCATGGGTTCAAATCCGCCCGCATCTTCCACAAGAATGTCTTCATCTGGGACTTTATAGGTAAATAAGGAAAAATAGGTCATTTTAAGGTGACTGAAATGTTTCAATTCAAAAACCTAGGAATTTGAGTTAATGTGGAAGTAAAGTTTTAAAAATAAATAATCAGATAAGCACTGTTCTTCATTTTCATTGACACAGTAAGCACGTATTAGTATCTCCAATATTCCAACATTATTCTAAGCACTTAGGATATATCTTGGTAAACAATGCAGGAAAAAAATCCATATGGTTGATAAACTTATATTCTGGTAGGGATGGGAAGGAAACCAAGCTATACACAAAAACTTAACATACGAAATTTATGTAGTATATTCGAAGGTGATCATTGATCTAGGAAAAATTACCTGAAGTGCTTGCTGCAGAGAGTCAAGGACTACAGCCTTCAATATGGATTGAGGATCAATGTCAAGAAGACTAAGGTTCTCACCACTGGACCAATTGGCAGCATCAGGATGGATGGATGGTGAAGAGATTGAGATTGTTCACAGTTTTAGTTTGCTTGACTCCACAGTCAACATTCTTGGCACCAGCAGCCAGGAAATTAAAAGACATATTGCAATGGGAAAGTCTGCTGTTAGGGACCTTTCCAAAGTACTGAAGAGCAATGGTGTCTCTCTGGAGACTAAGGTGTGTCTGCTACAGGCCATGGTCTTTGCTATCACTTGTTATACATCAGAGAGTTGGACAGTGACTAGGGAGGATAGAAGGAGAATTGATGCCTTTAAGCTGTGGTGCTGGAGAAGAGTATTGAGGGTACTATGGACTGCTAAGAAAACAAACAGATTCATCCTAGAGAGAGTTAAACCAGGCAGCTCCTTTGAGGCAAGGATTCTGGGACTTCGTCTGACATACTTTGGACATGTTGTAAGGAGGGACAGGTCCTTGGAGAAGGACATCATACTTGGGAGGGTGGAGGGGCAGCGCAGGAGGGGAAGGCCCTCTATGAGGGGGATTGATTCAGTGACTGGGGTAATTGGGATGGGTGTGTCAGAGGCAGTGCGCTTGGCACAGGATAGAGCAGAGTTTAGGGCTGTTGTACATAGGGTTGCTATGAGTCGCGAGCAACTCGATGCCCTTAACAACCACAACAAAAAGAAAAGGACAAAAGTTGATGGATGATACAGCTTGTATACTCAGTTCCTAACCAAAAGATTGGAGGTTCGTGTTCACCCAGATGTACTTCTGAAAAGCCAGCCATCAAAGAGCCCTGGTGCTGACCCATGGCCAAGGACTGGCTGAATGTGTGTGTGTTTTTAGTTACAGGTCCCTAATATGGAAGGTGGACTTTCCCTATCAGGACACACTAGTCAGGTGCATCACAGGGTACAGCAGATGCTTCAGGCATGGCAGCACAGACCACCACGAGGTCCCCACCAGGATTGTGTATGGGGCATAGCCTACAAACAGCCAGCAGAAAATGAAGAGGAAGTAAAATGAAGAGGAATTCAGAGAGAAATGAGGATACAGGAATGAAACTGTCATTTCCTACCCAAAAGATCCCACAACAGAGCCAGTCAGTGTGCTGTCATACACTGGAACATGTGATTAATCCCAGTCACCTTGGCCCTGCCCCTGTGGAAGGCACTGCTGAACAAATTTTTAATGCACTTGTCGCAAGTGGAGGAAATAGAGAATATCTTTTTGAACTTGTAAATTCTATTAGGAACCTTGTGCCAGAAGATGCAGACAAGCACGTATTCTCTTTAGAAAAATTAGTAAAGGAACGTTTAGATGGAAAACAGCCTCAACTACGTATAAATACCTAGACATTGACTTACAGGCAGAACTTGTAGACTTCTGAGACTAGGCTGCCTACACAATGGCAATATGATGTCAAAATATGTTTATGTGAAGATCTTATTTATCATTCTTTTGTATTCAGGATATCTAAATTAATGGGTTACAGGTTCTCTGAGAACATTGTTGTTGTTATGTGCCATAAAATCACTTGCAACTCATCGTGACCCTATGTACAATAGTCCTGAACACTGCTCTATCCTGTGCCAACCTTATTGTCTCTAAAACACCTACCTCCTTTACCCCAGTCACTGAATCAATCCATCTCATCAATGTCTTTCTCTCTTTTGCTGTCCCTCCACCCTTCCAAGCGTGATGTCACTTCTGAGAACTGGTCCCTCCTTGCAGATATTGCTAAAGAAAAAATTCACATTTAAATAACTTAAATGATCTCCTAACTATATGATATAAACTATTGCTTGTTACAAGTCAAATCATTTTTTAAAAAATACAATGAAAGACTCTGGAAAAAGAAAGAAAAGCCCCAGACCATAGTTCTCCTGTGACTCAAATAGTATTGCCTGAGTCAGAATTCATTCAATGGCAACTGAAGAGGGGTGTGGAAATCTAGGGAGGGGTTCAATTTTGAGTAGGAGAGTTTATAGACGTTGTTGAGAAGATAACATTTGATCAGTGACTTCAAGGAATGACAGAGTGTATGTATTGATTTACTTTTGGGAGAGAAGGCTATTCTTTTAGGCCAAGTGCTAAGGGTAGGATGTGCCTGGTCTCTTCATGGAACTGGAAGGAGCCTGGCGTGACTGGAGCAGAATGAGAACGGGAGAGAGTAGGAGGGGGAGATGAACGGCTTGGTCCCCTATCTTTACTGATAGGATCTTCTGGACTACAAGAAAGAGTTTTGCTATTGTTTTTAAAGAAGTAGTTAAACATTTGTGGTTTTTATTGCTTTTTTTTTTTTAGATTTTAGTGAAAGTTTATAAAGAATTTGGATTTCCATTCATCATTCATTGTTGCATATTTTCCTCCCTTCCCCTCCCCTTCACTTTTTTTCTTTGGAAAAAATGTTCTTTCCTTTTTCTATAGTCACACACCCACCCTGCCCCCTTTTACTATGCAGCTCTTATTCTGGACTCTTGTCATACCAATAATACCTAAACACATATTCCTTTTATACATTTCTCTCCCTCCTCTGTTTCAATGCTGTATGCATTATTTATCCCCTCTTTTCTTGGTTTTTCCCCCAACCCCCATGTCAGTCCTGTTTTATAACAGTGGCATTATGTAGTATTTGTCTTTTTTGTGAGTGAGATATTTCACTCAGCATAATGTCCCCCAGGGTCACCAATTTTGTATAATAGTTCATGAGTTCTTTGTTTTTCAGTGCTGCATAATATTCCATTGTGTGAATATACCACAGCTTCTCTATCCACTCCTTTGTTGATGGGCACTTGGGTTGTTTCCATCTCTTTGCTATTGTGAACAAAGCAGCAGTAAACATGAGTGTGCATGTATCTGCTTGAGTGGGAGTTCTGGTTTCTTTAGGGTATATTCCTAGTAGTGGAATTGCTGGGTCAAATGATATTTCTATTCCCAACTTTTTGAGAAAGTGCCATACTGCCTTCCATAGTGGTTGCACCATTTTACACTCCCACCTACAGTGAATAAGGGTTTCAGTTTCTCCACAACCTTGCCAGCATTTGTTGTGTGCTACTCTGTTGAATTTTGCCAGGGTAAGATGCCATCACATAGATGTTTTGATTTACATCTCTTAGAGCTAGCAATTTTGAACATTTCTTTATGTGTTTGTTTGCCATCTAAATGTCTTTTTTGGTGAAGTGTCTTCTCATATCCTGTGCCCATTTTGTAATTGGGTTGTTTACCTTTATCTTGTTGTGGCGCTCGAGTATTTTTTAAATTCTAAATATGTCTCTTTTTAAAAAAATTTTTAAAAATTTTATTATTTTTGTGTGTGTACCATCAAGTCGGATCTGACTTGGTACAGGAGGAAATTGTCCCTCCTTCTCCAGCAAAGCATATGGTGGATTTGAACTGCACACCTCTGGGATTGCAGTACAGCTTCCTGCCACTAGGCCACCAGAGCTCCCTCTAGAAATGTCTCTTTATCAGACATGTCATTACCAAATATTTTTTTCTCCAGTCTGTGGCTTCCCTTTTTACCCTGTTGGAGAAGTTTTTGGATGTGCCTAGGGATTTGATTCTTAAAAGGGTTCTATTCACCTATTTTATCCTCTCCTGGTTGTAGGTAAACACTTGTGTTTTATAAATAAGGCCTAGATCAAGGAATTGATTTCCTCTAACTTGGAATGTTTAGGTAAAGAAAGGAATGTTGATATAGCAGCTCAATTCCTTACTACTAGGGCACCAGAGCTCTCCCTGGTATATATATATATATATATATATATATATATATATATATATATGTGTGTGTGTGTGTATTTTCCTTATTTCATCATTGAGATTAAGGTCCTTGCAGTGGAATGAAATCAGTAAATCTGAGGAATAAATACCTATACATATCTGTGTACATATACACAAGCCAGTACATATGGAAGGAGCTATGATGGCCTAATGGTAAGAAACTGCACTATAATCCCAAAGGTACATAGTTCAGATCCACCAGCTGCTCCACAGAAGAAAGATGAGCATTCTCTTCCTATGCTATTTACTGCCTCTGAAAACCCACTGAAGGATCAGCAAAGAGTCAGCAGCACACAACAGCAAGTGTATAAGTATTTATTCCTCAGATTTACTTGTTTTATTCCATTGCAAGGATCGTATAGCTGAGTGTTGTCCAACCATTCTATAACTAGAACAAGGGACATCATTTCAATGGCTGCTGTGGCTTCGATACTTAAGAGAAAGTTCTAGTTTTAACAGAAGGGGGTTTTTTTAGTTGTTGTTTTTTCCCCAATTTGATGATGGTGTCTTAAAGAAAATATACTTTCCAGTCTTCTGGAACACAGTCTAGACTTGCATATTATCTATGAAATATGGACCTCCGAAATTAATTTTGAGGCCAGTGATAAAGTAATGCTGTAGCTTCAGTACTGGTTATGATAAAACGCATCTTCAGCATTTCCAGAAAAAATTAAATGACGAGTCTTTCTGTGTCTGCACAGTTTATGTGATTCTGCCTTCTTTGCCTAGAGAGAGCTGTTGCTTATTTTGAAACCACTGACCAGACTCTAGACAATGAAGATGATGTCCTCATTCAGAAATCATCCTGCAAAACATTCTGCCACTATGTCCACGCTATTAATAATGCACCCAGGAATATCGGAAAGGATGGCAAATTTCAGATTTTGGTTTGCCTTGGAACAAGGTATGAAAGCGGCTCTTACCTTTCCTGTCTTTATTTGTGAACATGAGTCTGGAACAGGTTATACCAGATCATACATCTGTCAAGTTTCTTGAATTGCATTCTAAGTTTCAAGACTAGTATTTATTAGGTACTTAGTATGTGATAGTTGTGCATTGAGTATGTTAGATACCATTGTCTCATTTAGTGACACCAGCACCCCTACATGAAGTAGTATACTGATATCCCCACTTTATAAATGAGAAAATCAAGACACAGGTAAGTAAAGAAATTTTCTCTGAGTCATACAGCTAATAAGGGTAAGATCAGAAGTTCAGCACACCAACTATTCTCCACAAAAGATGTGGCTTCTGAAAAGAATTAAAGCCTTTGTCCTTCTTATCAGGTTACATAGTTACATACTATGAATTGGAATCAGCTTAATGGCAATTGGTGTGGTTGGTTTTGTTTGATTTTTGTCATTGTTAAATTGCATCCTTACCCCATACTGCTTTAAATGTAATAATATTAAGGGATTTTTTGCTAGATACGTGTTACCTTTTCTTTACAATTATTTCCTACGACTTGAATTTTTTTAAATGACACATAAAAGCTGTGTGATCATTGATTTTAAAACAGCTTTCAGACTTGCGGAGAATGAAACACACATAGACCTTTAGAAGAATTTTTTTTTAAATTGTGTGTGTTTTCTTTCTCCTTAGCACTTAGAGCCCCCAGTGTGAGGTTTTGGATAATCTAACTATGGCTGCCCTTGCCAGATGCCTATGCAGGGCTGCTCACTGAGGATGTGCTAGCATGGTGGGGATGGTGACGATGGCCAGGACAGAGCAAGGGGCTGATCTTTGTTCACTGGGTCACTATGAGCGGTTGTCCAGTCAGGGACACATAACAAGTGACAGCACCAAGGTCAGAATTTAAGTCCATAAACAGTGGGAGTAAGAGATTTGTCCTCCTGAAACAGCTGGTTTACAGAACTCAGTCCTGCATTTCTTCTTAATCCAAGGGGCCCAATTTCAGCTGTAGTTTTACAGTTCTTTTTGAGGATGATTTTTATCTCCTTTTATCTCTTCCAAGTTGTGATTTATTAGACCACTACAACCCTTTTCTGGATTATAAAATCTGCTTAATGTTTTTCTGGTGAGGTTTTGTTCCTTACCTTGATATCTTATCTAAGTTAATTGGTTGTTTTTGGTTTGGGCTTTTTTGTTTTTGTTTATTTAAATCACACCCTAATATTTATTTAATGTGGTGTTTTCTTCCCAAACTGTATTTTCTTCCCAATACCTTTTGGCACAGTCTGTCACAGATGTATGACTAATACCCTTGGTTTTGTGTTTTTGGGGGTTTGTGGGGTTTTTTTTAAAAAAAAAGAAGGTAACTCATTGTACATCTTTTGCAAATGATAATGTAAGAGGAGAGAATTTCTTTAATGTCTAGAAGGTCTTATGACCACCTTGTCAGGACTTACTTTCAGAATGTCAGTGGGTTTTCCCATTAATTTACACTGTCTGATTAGTGTGTCTTCTCAGCTATAAATATCCAGCTTTTTGGCTTTGGTTTCCTCAGACCTCAGGGCTTGGCTGGATTTTGTAACACCTTTATCCTCCTGTTTTAAGCACCTCCATGCATCTCTTTGTGGTGAGGTGTAGTGGTGCTCAAGCATTATTTCTCTTTGGCTCTGTAGGGATCGCCTGCTCCCACAGTGGATTCCACTATTAGCCGAGTGTCCTGCCATTACCCGAATGTATGAAGAGAGCGCCCTCCTTCGAGACCGCATGACTGTCAACTCCCTCATCCGCATCCTGCAGACCATTCAGGACTTCACCATAGTCTTGGAAGGATCACTCATCAAAGGAGTGGATGTGAACCCCATTGGCTAGGAGCTCTCAGTCCAGACCCCTTCCTCCTGAACCTTCCCTGCCACACAAGTCCATATGGACCAATTTGGACTTGTCTGATGCAGTAGTGAGTCACTGCAGGGGGCAGTCCACCTTATCCCCCACTTTGAACAATCCTTATGCTACAGATAAGGCAAATGCTGTATTGTAGTTCATTTGAACCTGGAATTTAGTATAAAATAGAATATTTTCATGTGTTAGATGTGTGTAAATACGCTATCTTTAAGATACTATATTACTCTAATAAGATACTTTTCTTAGATTGAATACTACTGTGACTTAAAAATAGTAGTTTAAACACATTGCGGGTTGGGGGAGAAGAGTGGTGCTAGTCAGGAAGAAGCCAGTAAACATGTAAATACAGTGTGACCCAGCGCGACTTTTTTTTTCCCCCGTCCACTTGTCACAAAGGAACCCAAAATGCAGTGTTGTGCTGTGGCCATCCATCTCGGTGTCCCCGCCTTTGTATTGTGAAAGTAAACAGATTTATCTGTTGTATCTTTTTAGTTACAAACTGTTTCATATGTTTGAATCATGAGTCACTTTTCCAGTTTTTGGGAAAAATTTTTGAGTCAGCATAAGATGAAGATAGAATTCAAGTATTTTAAATACTGGACCCCCAGAGCTTGACTGAACTGGAAAGAGAACACACAAAAACCCAAGAAATGTGCTAAATTGTGGGATTATAACTTCTTTACACTTTGGAAAGATTAGCCTAGACCAACTTCATTCTTGGCATTTTTATTCTTGTTCTTTGAGGTATTTTGGGAAGATGTAAATTTCAAAGTGTTGGCCTCATAGTTAGAGGAACTGCAAACAGCAGTTTTCGATTGTGCTTTTTCATTTTGCCATCTAAACCTTGCAGTGGTGCTTTAGCTGTTAAGGTTTACCACAGCCCTGGCTCCGTTGGGTTCCAGTCACCCCTCTTTCCCCTCTACCCATGCCCATCCCCCTCTCAGGAAATGGGAAGAATGTTTAAGAAGGAGGAGAGCTCTGTGTGACTTGGAATGTTTTTGTGAAAGTAAGTATTTGTTGACCATGATAATGCAAATAACAGAAGGAGAAAGAAAGAATGAACTCTTTCTGGGTGTTTCAAGGGACGCTTTATGTTTCTCTGTAGGAAGGGATAAAAATGTACAACAACTGGTCCTAGAGAAGTTAAAAACCACTGCAAGACAGAGTGACAAAATGAAAGCAAAACTAGAGGCAACAGTTTTTGAAAGACCAAAAGTTGTGAATAACTTTCTAGTTTGGTATTCTTTCATAAGAATGTTGCATAAGTGTGGTATTAGCTGGTTACTTAACTCCTCATCTTATGGCAGGTCATGTAACTCTAATTAGGCATCTGCACATTTCAGCAGTTGAATTGCCTCAGTCATGCTCTAGGTTTTATTCCCAGTGTGACTGAGAAGTGCAGCCATGGCCTCTCCGGATCCTTGTGCAACCTGAGGGTTCTGGGCCTTACCCAGCAGTGCTGTTTCCCGGAGGAAGAAACTATTGAAACAAGTGCCTCCCTCCCTTTAGTAAATACTGTATTCATTCAGGACAGCCACAGAACAGCGCACTGAACATAGTGGGATTTAGTATTTGAGAAAAAGAGGGTTGAACACTGTTATCAGAAACTCATGGGAAATGATTGTAGCTCAAGAAGATAGTCCTGGGTGACCTGGTAGACCTACCTAACACATGTTTAACTCAGGCTAAATTCTGTCTGCTGTGGCTTGGCTATTTCATTGATTGTTATGGAATGTGATGTTGGAAGGTCTTCAGAACCTGTTTTATAATAGGGTAATACGGTGTTTCAGTGATCAGGAACAATCCATTATAGATGTAACCATAGTCCAGGGTTTCCTTCTTGTTATCTTTTCCATATGACTATGCTTCTGACACACTGTCCAGCCAACAAAGATGACTTAGATTTGTATGCTAGAAGTGAGTCTAGTCTGCCCTTCTCATCTTATAGATGGGAGTCTTGAGAATCAGGGAGATTAAATACCTGCCCTTACCCTACAGCTGGTCGGTGACAACACAGTTTAGAATAAACGTTGTTTTATTTTTATTACACTGGACCACATGGGACCAGACCTTCAAGGTATTCTTCCTAAATCTTCAACATTTATTCATCTATTTCTATGGATGCTAATTACAACTCTTGTTAGAACTAAGGGCATTTAGATGACATGGAGGCTGTAAATGAAACTATCCCTTTTAAAAGTCATACCCCCCCAAAAAAAGATTGTATCTGAACTTTCATCTCAATTTGTGTAGCATATGTATGTGTGACATACATATGTGTAACAGTGAAATGACTAATGATCTTTTAAAAATAAACACACTGGAATCTGCACACCTTCCTGAACACCTGGACCCTTTCAGGATTGTTACCTGGGGAGCCAATGATGACATACCTCTGGGGGCCTCGTGATGCACTGCCTGAATGCCTGCCCAACAGTTTATTCCTTCAGCTGCTTCCAGTAGTGGTGAACCATGGTCTTTCAGAAGGAAACAAAGTACTTACGATCCAAACCTGATAAATAAAAAGGAATGGTTAACTGAGTAATGGAGTTTGAAATCACATATTAAGAAGCAAAATTTAGTTTTTATGTAACTTATTAACTGCCTCTGAGCCAATACCAAAATACTTTGAATCCTTAGAATAAATGCACATAATCTTTCAAGGTAATTTCTGGAAGGACCATACACCCTGAGAAGTAATTTTTTCTGTTTTGCTAATAGTAAAAATAACTATACTGCTTTAAAAAAAAACAAACTATACTGCTTTATGAGTTAAGTAAAAATCAGTTTTCAGTTGGCATATTTAATCTCAAAAATAAATCCCTGGGAGAATAATTAGTATTTTCACATAAAATTTTAGATTGAAAAGAAATTGTTTTAAAATAAAATTGTCAAAAATATTACATCTTGAAAAATTATATTTTTCAAGTGTTTTTCAAATATTCTGAAACTCCTAAAAAGCAATTGTTTAGCACAGTGGCATTATTACACTGCTGTTGGAATGATGTTAGAGATCCTAAAGCTATGCCCAAGTCAGAAGTCATTAGCACCTTAAAAATGATGGTAGCTCAGTCATTGCTAAATAGCATAAAATAAGCTTCTCTGTGAGAAAAACAAGACTACAACCTCTCCTTGCACTCTTAACCATTGGACATTAGATGTGAAAAAATTACCTGGAACTTTTTAAAAGTCTGATTTCCCTCTAAATTTATCCTAAATGTTTAACTCCTTTTTTTCATACCTTTTGTGATCCTATGGTACTTACCATAATGTGGCTTTTTTTTTTTAGTCATTCTGTCACACTGAATGAATGATAAAGGGGGAATACTGAATTGCTGGTATTTCCTTTTGGCAATAACAGATTGTTGTATTTAAATGTAAATGAAAGACTGAGCCCATACATACCAGTTTGTGTATACTGCTATATATTGACAACCCTAAGATATTTTGGAACATGAGACAACCAACAAGATCCATAGGAGAGTATTTGACAGCTTTGGGAGTGTAGCTATTCATAATGAAATATCTCCTTTCTCCTATGAATTAAGAGCTTTCAGTAGACTATTTTTCATTAGGGAACTGTAAGTATTTCTCTGTGAGGTTTACAGAAACTAGTCTGTCCTTTTCACTATGTTGAAAGGATAATCTGAACCGTAGCTATTTATTTTTCAGTATTAACACACCTTCATTGATTAAGAATGAAGTCTTGAGCCCTTCTCTGCTCTTGTAAATTTAATCCTATGCCCAAGTTACTTGTGTCATTCTCCAGTTTTTTGTGTCTTTTGAAGCCCCTGTTTCTTATACAGTATTTGTCACATTATTATTTACTATACATAAGAGACAGAAAAGAACTACTAGATCCCTTATTCCTGTTAAAGTACATTTATCAATATCTTGGTGGGGGAGACTGAAGTCCAAGCTGTGTGTAGAGGTTTCTGACTGTAATGTCAGCAAAAGAATCCTAGGCAAACCTCATTCTCCCACGTCTCTTTAGGACCTCCGCTGCCCTTGCAAGGACAAAAATTGGTTTTGAGAAAATACTGCACTGAGCTGTATGACCAGATTTTGATGGCAGAGTTTATCAAAGCAATTTTTTTTCCATTTGAAGGGATTCCTTGGTTTATTTAGGAAGGGAATCATCCTTGATCCAAATGCTTGGATGTATTTGTGTATGAGCTCAATCTTTATTCCTAGCATCAAATCTTGTTGATAGTAGAGAGGTATGGTAAAAGGTTTCTATTGTCAATCAAATGAGGGTGTGAACCATTAGAAGAAAAAAAAAACCTTCTGTGTTACACTTGAACCATGTATAAATGTACCCTGTGTATCTTCAGAAAAGCATTTCTGCATTTAAATTATATTGTTTTTCTTTGTATTGTTAATGAAATGCATCAGAACTGGATTTTTTTTCTCATCTGAACATACTATAAATTTTAACAAGTATTGTGATATCAAGCACTTTAACATACATATCATAGAAACTGATGTGGGTTTTTTCAGGTTTTGGAGTACATTTAAAATATGACTTTTCATGCTTTGTTCTTTACAAATAAAATTGTGGGATTGATACTTTGCTTTGATTCATTATTATAGAATTTTAAATACTGAGTGATTTATAGGACAAGTGACTCCAGCAAGTAGGATATACAACACTATGTAGGAAAACCTAGCTAGGTAGTCAGCAGGAGCTCCTGAAACTCAACCCAACAAAGATGACTATAAAATGAGCAAAGGATTTGAATAGACATTATTCAGAGAAGATGTTTATATGGTCATTAAGCACATGAAAATATACTCAGTGTCCCTAGGGGAAATACAAATTAAAATTATAACAAAATACCACTTTGCTTCTTGTTGTAGAGGTTATAATAAGAAAAAGAAAAACATCAGGTGTAGTAGGCAAGAGTATGAACTGGTAAGAATGTAAAATTGTTCAGCCACTTTAGAAAAGTTTGGTAGTTCCTCAAAAAACTTAATATAAGATTACCATCTGACCCAGCAATTCCATACTCCCAGGTAAAAACAATCAAACAAACAAAAAAAGACAAGAAAACACAAAGTAGGGACACATGGCTATTTGTATACCAAAATTCACTGCAGTATTATTCATAATAGCCATTATATATCTATATATAGATTAATTCACAATTGCATGGGGGTGGGGGTGAATAAAATCCACCACCCCCACCCCCCACCCCCAGTCACTAACCCTAGAGTTCAGCCTCAGTAAATCAGAAAAGTCTTTTTGTCCCTTAGGCCACATCCAGACTTTGTTAAAAAGTGCAACCATCAGGTGGCATGGAAGTTTCCTAAATGTCACACCAATAGGACGTATTTATTTGCAGGAATCTTCAGTCTAGGATGCTTCCATGGGAAGGAACCATGCCCCAGAACTCAAGAACATTATCAAGCAGAGGCCAGGAAAGTGGACCATGGAGAAATGTTGCCCCAGTGAACTGTGCTGAAAAGCAGCCAACGTCTCTATGAACTGCAGGAGCTTGACCAGAGGAGTCAACACAACAACCGCAACCCTTGGGAGAAAGATGGGCAATCAACTCCTGTGTGATTTCCTGCCTCTGGAAACCCCAATGCCATGAAATTGATGCTGAATCACAGTGACCCCACGGTTGCAGAGTAGAACTGCTCTCTAGGGCTTTCTTGGCTGTACTCTTTATGCACATGTAAATTAAGTCCATCCTTCCAAGATACCGTAAAGTGGGTGAAAACCACCAAACTTGCAGTTAGTGTCAAGTGCAATCTACAACCCCCAGTGAATTAAAGGAACATACTAAAATAAGAGAAGCCTCTTTCTCCTCCAGGGCCTTCTACAGATAAAGGTTAGCGTTGTACCAGCTCAAGAAGGTAAAATGTTTACAAGGTCTAATTCCATTTTTTTCAAAGCAAAGAAGAGTAGTCTTGAGGCAGAGACGTAGTAAATGAATAACTGGCACAAAGTTCTAGTTCCTGTAGTCAGTAAGCAAGGGATCCTAGGTTGCAGAGCGCACTATGTTAGGCTGCTAACTCGAAGATTGTTGATTCGAATCCACCAGCCATGCAATGAGACAAAAATGGGCAGTATCCTGTGAAGATTTAAACCAGGCCAAGCCTCCTGTCATGAATCAATTCTACACATGGCTCTCTTCCTTCAGGTCTTCAAAACTGTAATCTTAACGAGACCGCCCATCTTTCTTCCACAGAGCAGCTGGTGGATTTGAACTACCTACCCTTGGGAGTAAGAGGGGCAATCAACTCAGTGCTGCAATCCAGAAGACATGTGGTTCAAGGCCAGCAGTTGTTCCATGGGAGGATAGGTAATCTCCTCCCATGCGATTAACTGCCTCTGAAAACCCACTAAAGGCTCCGACTCTACGGCACACAACAACTGCAACCCTTGGGAGAAAGATGGGCAATCAATTCCTCTGTGATTTCCTGCCTCTGAAAAACCCTCTGGAGGGTCTGCTTTGAGTTGGTTCTGACTCAAAGGCACTTAACAACAACTGCCTTTTGGTTAGCAGCACAGCATGTACCACTGAGCCACCAGCCTCCCATGAGTCAGAATGCCTGTTGGTTTGGGGGATAGGAGAAAATCCCCACCAAAATCACTGCAATGAAGT